ACAAGTTTTAAAAACAAGCCCAGGGAAAGCCTGGGAAACCACAGAAAGTCTGACACTTGTACCACATAAATTGGTAGAACTGTGAAGGAAACAGTGTATGTCAGCACATGTACAAACATGGCATATTTGTGTGATGAAAGGAAGTGAGTAAGATAGGACCAACACACCTCTTTTAAGTAATTTTTTCACAAAATTATTAGAGTTCTCCCAAGATGTAAAAAACAACAAGTAGCTTTGGAATTTTTGTTAACAAAGTCTACTTGGATTTCCAAAAAACATTTGATGAATCTGTCATTCATCAGTCTTAAAAGCCCTAACCTCCCAGAGGATAAAAATAAATGTCCTTGTAAGGATAAATAATTGGAAACAGATGGTAGGAAAATACTGTCAATTTTTCAAGTGGAGAGAGGTCAGTGCTGGAGTCCTGCAGGGATCTGTGCTGGAACTTGGGAGCTACTCACTTATTTATAAATGAGCTGGAAAACAGGGTAAATGGTGAGGTGACAAAGTTTGCTGCTGATACTCATTCAGGGTAGCTAAGATAAGGGCTGACTATGAAGAAAAACCTGACAACATCGAGTGACTAGGAAATAAAAAGGCAAATTAAAGTCAGTGTAGATAAACAAATATGAAGAAATTTCTTTGAAGGGAAAAAACCTAACTACACAAAATTAGATGCTCCAAGGTGACTATTACCACTTCAGGACTGAGATCTTAGGGTTATAATAGGTAGTTCTGCAAAAACATCATCCCATTGTTCACTAATAGGGAAGAAGGGAGTCTTAGTAACTACTAGGAAAGGAACAAAGAACGAAAGAGAGAATATTATTAAGTTACTATATGAATGGCTGGTTTGTCAGTCTTGAATATCATGTGTAGTTCTGGTCCCACCACCTCTGAAAGATACAATAGATTGGAAATGGTCATAGGCAGGGCAGCAGGGATGATCACAAATATGGTACAACCTAACAACTGAGGTCTGACCAAGAACCCAACGGTCTCAAAAACAGGTAACTGAGGGGATACAGCAAAGGTGTAATCAGAGCCAGCACAGGGAATGCATCTACAAGTCCCCTGTTCATGGCTTCTTCAAGTACGATAGCTGAGGGGATCAAATGAAATGAGCAGGCAAAAGGTTTAAAACACAAAAAAATCACTACTGAATCTTCACACAGCACATATTAAGCTGTGGAACTCCTTGCTCTGGGGCACTGTAAATGATGAAAGTTTACACAGGTTAAAAAGCAACCCAAGTCTCAACAAAACAAATATCAGCAAGAGCTTTTAAATGCCAAGATCCATCTGAGGAAATCCCAGAGTACAAGTGCTGGAGAACAGAAAGTACTGAGCGTAAAGTGAGTTTTAGCTGCTCTGATGCTTCTGTGGGTCCACGTTACAGACCACTGTCAGAGATCACTGGACTAGATGGACCTGTGGTTAGCCAAAGCACAGAGGTTTCATGTTTGACTGTCTTCTTCCTGTGGGCATGGGATGATTCTTCCTGTAGGATTTCATCCTACTTGTCCATGGGACACTTCTATGTCTTTGTTTTGCTTTCTCTACTTCTTTCTTGTAACATGTAACATCCTAGTAAAGAAAAAAGTAATGACAAATGTCTAATAATGGAAAAAATCACAATGACAGAACTGAAGTGTTTAATTTACTTAACTTGTAAAAGAATAAATCTCAACAATTATCTCTATTTGTGAGGTTTCTTGCAACCCTTGGATGTGGGGTAATAAAGAACAATAATATCTAATTTCTAATGTTTTCACCAAGTGTTTCTGTTCATGCAGCTGCTCAAATTTAAATGTACATCCAAGTGTTTGTACATATGATCTTGCAATTGCAGAAGGGGAGTCTAGGGGATGGAGAACGAGGCTGCCAACACTGGCTCTCAAAGCATCAAGTGTACCCTGACAGCATTAGGCACACACAACAAAACAAGCAGACTAAGTCATGGCCAAATTATAAGGTCATCTAATGTATGTTGTACTCACATACACAAAGGAAATAGCTTTTTTCCTAGGATTTTTCTTCTTAATCATGTCATAAACATGTCTAGTCATAGACATGATTAGACAGCAACAAGGAATGAAAATGCATGTGTCCAACATACTGTTTATCTTTTTCTTATTTAAAAAACACCTCTTCAAAACAAGAGCTATATCATGCTGACAATTTATAATGACTCATGCAGGACAGAATGTGATCAAAATCTTCTTTTTAAAGAAATGAGTTCCTAAGATTTTATTTGCAATCCTAAACTAAGCATGATCCCACGTCAGAACCCTGATTCTAAGAAGATTTAAATTACATCAGTTTTAAGTATTATATGATCTAACCGAATGCTAACACTATGAAGGTACATAATAGCAAGCAAAATCAGAGCTATACTCGTATAATTGTTTATTTTACTACTTCAGGTTCAATTTTGTTCCTGTACTACACAGAACTATTTGCATATGTAGATGACATTACTGTATTGTTTTTTGTGAAACAAGTGTCTTAATATTACTATTGTCGATTACTTATGCTCTCAAAACAGTAAAATAGTAACAGAAGTAGGTCATGTAGCTTATAGAAAACCTACCATTATAACTGTCTTGTCCTGCACATTGTACTCTAAGTTTTCCTTCTTTCCCACCACTGTTTTCTTCTTCAAGGGGTGAATCCCAAACTAATATGGACTTTATGGTAGTTTTCTCTCCCTTTGAGGAAACTTTTTTAGGTAATACAGAAGTGAACAGTCAAGTAAATGCTGAATTAAGGTAAAACATTCAGCAGACAACAAAGTCAGGCTCTTTCAACACCCAACATTGTTCTAGTTCTTCCAGGGCATTCACATACAAATTGGGAAAGATGACCAATAACCACTTGGCTATACACATACTCCCTTACTGTTTTAATTTGGGGGGGAAGCAAGTCTGAGAAATGATCCTTCTGCTGATACAAAACTCATTTTATTAACTTTTAATGCCAACAGTGCATCTACTAGATTTGGAGATGACAAAAATTCTGGGTTGCTTTGCCTGAAAACATATCTTCAGTGTCGCACCTGCACATGTGCAGCATGGTACAGACTGGTTGAGCTCCAGTAGGTCAGCTGCATGCAGTGGTTTCTTAACATTATTATTCACCTGTAGAGAAATGCAGCAAAGGAATCAGATTCATTTTATCTACCTTGCACTAGTGTCTGTTGGCAGGAAGAAGTGGAACCATATAAATAGAACATCATTATCTCTGATGTTGGAAAGTGCAAGGGATTTGGAAATTGTGCTGTCCTACTGCATACTGGACGTGAACAAAATAGGCTGAAATGCACCAAAGCAGTGAATATTCATGCCACCTTTTAGCAGCAGAGCCATAAGGAGAGGAGACAGCTGAAAGCAGAAGTCCTTAATGAAGCAGAGGAGACATCAGCAGTGCAAAGATGAAACAGTCTGCCCTGCCTGGAGCCAAGTGACATGACTGTGTACAATTAACCAGACCATATCAGAAGGCATGCCACTGAATAGACAAGAGTAGCCACCAGTATCAAAGGGGATTCCCAATGAAGAAATAAGGAACCCAAACCCAAACTCACGGAAACTGGGGAAAAATCTACCCCCCTCAAATGACTGAAGATCAATCCCCAAGTGATAAAAAAAGAAATTATAAGGAAATTTCAGTGACAGAAACAGCATATATATAATAACACACACAAAAGCATCACAGAAAGAAATGGTTAAAGCAGTTTCATACAAACCAGGGATTTCCACTAAGTCTTATGGACTAGGTGGCAAACTGAGTAATGCTGAAGCTGTTCAGCAAAAAAACTCAAAAGAATTATTGCTCAGAAAACTGAAATGAATGTAGGTCAATTGAAGGGACTGAAAAAGTGATTGTGAGCCCATTTGGGAGACATTTTGCTCAGTTTCCCTAACAGCTTATTCCTGCAAACCAAAACTTAACAATTTCAGGGTTTTATCAGGAGGATATGTAAAAGGTATGCTTTGATTTTAGCCTTTTTCTTCCCAAATGATGGAAGAATTGATATTTTCTGTCTTGCCAAAACTGCTTTTATTACTATCTCAACTCTACAGATCATTCTTTTCTCCTCCTTATCCTCCCAGCTGCACACAAATCACCAGTTCTCTACTAACTCAGAGGGAATGCTGTGCTGGAAATGCAAAAAGGGATGTCCTGGTGTTCTCCCTCTGTCTTATCATATCCTTTCCCCAGGGAGACACGGGATGTTCTGGGGAAAGTCAAACGAATTCAGATCTTCTGAGACAAAATTAGCAACTGAAATTAATTTTTTCTTAACACTCTTATACAGCGGGAAATAAACCTTATGAGCAAACAAAACAGACCCCAACTAAAACTCGTGAATGCCACATTCAACGACCTCGGCTGCCCTTCCAATTCGCCAGTAAAAAACCTCGCCAACCCCTCCCACTGAGCCGAAGTGGGCTCTGCCTTGCCCAGGTGGAAACGTGGGCTCGGGACTAGCCTTCAACAGGCTGGCAGCTGCCTTCACCCCCCGTCGCTTGCTCCAAGTGTCCCCACTGCCATTTTCTCCTGACCTTTCCAGCAGACCACGCGCTGGAGGATAGCCGGCCGCTGCCGCCCGCCCGCCCGGGAGCGGTGTGATGCTCACGGGTCGGTTCACAGACCCAAACCGGACGGTTCCTTCGGGCACCCTCGGAGGGCTGCGAGGAGCTGCGGTCTGAGCCCGGTTCGGCCCACGCCCGGTCCTCAGGAGGGCAGCAGGGCCGCCCAGGGCAGCACCGGCACCGCTCTGCAACGCTGCCGGGGTGTCCCGGCACCCCCGGAATCCCCTCCCCGACCTACCCCGCCGGGGCACCCCTGCCCGCCCGCAGCTCCTCTACCCCCTCCTGGCCCGGGCCGCAAGTTTCTCTGGAGCCGCCCGTGTCCCGCGGGGCCGGGCCGGACCGGGCCGGGCCGGGCAGGACGGCGCGGAGCCCCCCAGCGCCGGGGCCGCTGCCCCCACTCACCCGAGGTCAGCTGCATCCAGGCACAGATCTTGTAGACGGTGGCTGTGTTGCAGAAGAAGAAGAGGATGAAGCAGACGATGCAGGCGATGATGAGCATCATCGAGAGCCCGATGAAGAAGGATGCAGCTTTGAAGGCTCCCGAGGGCAGGCTGGAGAAGTCCGTGAAGCTGCCCCGGCAGGTGAGTTCCCGGCTGAAGCCGTTGCCGATGCAGTAGTGGAAGAGCCCGAAGTAGCCCGCCTGCGGGGTGTCCACGCCGTCCCCGATCCAGTACGGCTGGATGAAGCACACCACGTTGACGATGGCAAAGCAGATGGTGAAGATGGCCCAGAGCACGCCGATGGCCCGCGAGTTCCGCACGTAGTTGGTGTGGTAGATCTTGGCCGCCTCCTGAGCCGGGAGCATCCCCGCTGCTGCTGCTCCTGACGAGCCTGCTCCTGTCGCCGCCGTCCCTGCAGCCGCTCCGGGCATCCTCTCCGAGAAGGTCCCCCCTCCCCTTCCTCCTCCTCCTCCTCCTCCTCCTCCTCCGCCGCCTCCCCGCTCGCTCCGCTCGACGCGACGCGCTCCGCCGCCGCCGCTGCGTGCGAGAGCCGGCGAGCCCCTCTGCCGGGCTTCAGCGGCTCCGCGCCAGCGCCAGCAGCAGCGGCGGCAGCACCGACACCGCCCGCCGCCGCCTATCGGGGCGCAGCGCAGCGCCGCCGGCCGCCGCGCACCGCCCGCCCCGCAGCCCGCCCTCCGCCGCCGGGCGCCACCCGCACACCGCACACCGCACACCGCCCGCCGCGGGCGTCCCGCCGCCCTGCGCCACCGCGGCGGGACGGGCAAGGCTGAGGCGCCGTTTCCCGAGGGGCAGCCAGGGGCGAGGGTCCGCCGGTGTCCTATCCCCGAGCGGGCAGGGCCAGCCCTGCGTGCGGCAGGGGCGCTGCGGCCGCGACCCTCCCCTCAGCCCCGCAGCCCGCGGGCGCCTCTCCCGGCCGGGGCAGCGGCTGCCGGGTGGAGGCGCTCCCGACGCCGCTCAGCGAAGCGCGTCCAGGGAGACGCGTTCAGGCAGCGAATTTTAAAGTTTAGAACCTGTGTGTGGTGTTCCCGTCCCCGCACAAAACATCATCACCTCTCCAGCCGGGGGCGGCACCTGCTGGGTCCCCTGCGGCGGGGGAGCGGCGGCGTCTGCCCTGGCGCTGGGAGAGCCCGGAGACGCTCGTCTCCCGCCTGAAGGAAACCTCCTCGGGGCAGAGCTTGGAGCCCGGGGGAGGCAGGAATCACCAGGGGCTGTTCCCCGCCTCAGGGGAGGATGGCAGCCGCGGAGAACACCGCTGTGCGAGCGCGGCGCAGCCCTGGGGCCGCGGTGGCGGCTCCCGGCGTGGGCGCGGGGCGAGGCGACACCGTGGAGAGAGAGGAGCAGCTCCGCTCCAGCCGAGTGCCCGCGGCCTGGCTCCCGGTGCGCCGAGCGTGCTGGCATGCAGCAGTGATTAGCATACATTAACGGGCAATTAGCATCTGGTAATAATCGTTCCTGTGTCAGTGACACTCGGATTCGCAGTCCCCGACCTGTGCGCTGAGCCCGAGCTCACAGCGGTAAGCGATGGCACAGCCGGAGCCCAGCGAGGCTGGGCAGAGCTGAGCGGTCCGGCTGCCGAGCGGTGCCGGCAGGGGCCGCGCTCAGTTAAATACTGGCGCTCCGCAGCGCCGGGAGGAGCAGGGGAAGGAGAGAGACTCCCGTTGAAATGACTCCTGGCATTCCTTAAAAATTTTCCTCTGTTTCAGGCAAAGTTTGATTTCTGTCTCACGACTGCAAGTAAGCAGGCGCAGCCCAATGCAGCGGCACACCAGCACTTCCCAAGTTTCCAGGAAAGGTGTTTAGGAAGGGGCAGCACCCGCTGACAGTTTTAGGCCCCCCGTGCTCGTGTCTGGGGACAGTGACAGCTTGGAAAGCTGTGGGCAAAGAGCAGGAGTACGAGGATAGCGGTTTCCGTGCAGTCAGGCTGCAGGGGCACTGCCCTCGGAGAGTAGTGGGGTGGCACACGTGGTGTGGGTACACTTAGACACAGGTAGCATAGGCAGTGTGGACCCCAAATACTCACATTGCCTCTTTCATAGGCAAGTGGGTCCAAGCATGCAAAGTACAGGTAAAATTCCTGGCGATTTGGTTCCACTGAGTGTGCTCTGTCCAATGCTGGTGGAGGTGCCCACAAATGCTCTGCTGCATGTCATGCTCCTGCTGCAGCTGCTGCATGTGACTGGAATGCTCATATGTGGCCTTCGGGGAATAACTGAACTTATTCCAGCCTCAAGCACCAGGAGGAGTGGTGGTTCTTCTGTGCTCAGTTCTGTTTTCTTCAGGCTGAGGCTAGCTGGACACCAAGGCTCTGTACAGCATGCCTCTCTTCCCTGACCTCTAAAAAGCTGTGGAGCATGGAGGTGGAGACAATACAAACCAGACACAGAAGGCAGGACGGAGGCCTGAAGTGGCCCAGGACAATTTAGGAATGGAGGTTGGAGGGAAGGCTGGACAAGAAGTTCTGAGAGATCTAAAAGAGATGAGGTAGTGGGGAAGGAATTTGGGCTAAATAGGAGGTTTAGGGGTAGTGGATCTGTACATGTGCACACATCCAAGAAATATTAACCTGGGAAATTATGTTGCAGGAAGAAGAGATAGGGACTTGGGAAGGAACTGGGAGAGGAGAAAGAAGTTGTTTGTAGAAGAAATGGGCCAATGAAGCTGAGGAGGACAAAATACTAAGACTGGAAAAGAAGCTGGGGAACAAGGCTCAGACCCTAGGGATAGGTAAATGTGGGAGCCAGTCTGGGCAAGAACAGGAAAGGCCAGAAGGAGGGGAAGAAACTAGGATTCTGCTGACAAGCTGAGAAACAAGACCTGTGTCAATATTTTGGTCGTTCTAGTATATTCTCTCTGGTCTATGGCACCAAAAGAGCACAGATTTCATGTGGGCTCTAGGTGATACCCATGAGTCCTTCAGTTCACTGCATTGAAAATGGAGGAGCGGCATTGAAAATGGGGAAGTGGTACTAGACATCTGGGTTTTGGGGCATCTGAATCACTCTGATTGTGTCCCTCTCTAGAGCTTTGAATCCTCTAGTCTCAATTTTTGGTATGGAAGTTTCTTGGGAATTCCTGAAGACAGACTCTGGAGGTATTTTTATGGTTCTTACCACAGTTATACATGTGCTTCACTGCATTAGAAAATACAATGTCTCCATGAAATAGAAGGTTGGCATATTCTGGACAGAAGAGTTAAAAGGCAGCTGAGACATCATTTCTCAAAGCAGAGCTCCCATGGATTTTGGTTGCAGCAGTTCTGAAAATGAGGCCTCAGAAGGAGTCATACCAAGATGCTGCTCATCTATAAAAATTTTAAGCATCTTGCCTAGCATCACAGAAGAATTCTGTAGCAGAAGCAGGGATAGGCCCCAGTTCTTCAGGACATCTTTCATCATCTTAATCCTCAGATTTTCCTTTCTCTCCAACAACCCTCTTGTACCTCCACTGTTTTTCTCCCTCAGAATCAGCTGGGTCCCTGCCCTGTGGTTGTCACCTTGTCTCATCTAAAAAAGTCGGAGTCTTAAGCTAGGATTTTCGGCAAAAGCTTCTTCAACAGGTGAAACAGCATTCTCATCACCCTGATCTGTCTGGACAGCAGCTGTTGTCTCCCGCACCTGATAAGGCAGGATCCTGTTTACCAATTAGCATGTGAGCGTTGCGATGCAAAACAAAGAGGATGTAAATGAAGTGGCAGAGACAGCTCTTTTTTTGGCACGTCCTCTTCAGTACTGAATTCTCCAACCATAATATTGTTTTTAAAAACATTTGTATGTGTGTGTGTGTGGTTAAAAATAGACAAGTTCAAAGAGAATTTATATAGCCTTTAAAAGTACAATTGTGTACCAGATTGGCCTGGACCATACTGCCGACCACAGAGGTGCTAATTTTTTGTATATATATATATCATTACACAAAACACAAAATAAAAGCTTGTTATTTGGTTAATGGTTCTAATCACAACATTTCTGTTTGGAACTTGTCAGTTATTTACAGTGGTGGAGCAGTGGTTGAGAACTGTTTATATATTTAGTTTGGGGGGAGAGGCTGTGTGTTGTGCCAGGAAACGCTTAGATACTGTGGGTAAGAAGAACAGATTAATTCAGATGCTGGGTCGTGGGCAATATCTAGCAAGAAATGCACATCTGGGAATTTATTGATATTCACGTGGTGGGAAATTAAGAGCAAGACAGAGGGGGGAAGGAGTGAATGTATGGTTGGAGAGGAGTTTTCAAGAAAGAAGACTTATACAAAAAAGAAAGAAGCCTGTGAGAACGGAATGGGGTAGTAGGAAGTTATGTGTTAATGAATAAATACCAATAAAGGTGTCTGACAATGAATGATAAGTTTTGGTGACAGTTGAGGGAACTGGGAAAAACTGTTCAGCACATGAAAACAAGCTCACACAGGCAAACTTTCATGAGAGGGAGATGCCCCTGCTCAGACACATGACTGTCTCTTGCCAACCCCTCTGAGCACTTTCTCCCATACAACCCTCTTAAGACGCTGCTCTGCCTCAGAGGCTTTTTTTCCTGGTAGACAGAGGGATCTAGGCTGTCAGGAGGTTTTTCATATCTATTGCTGTGTGAAGGGTACATGAACTGCTCCACTTCTCTGAGACTTTCCTCCCAGCTTTCTGTGGTGTCACTCACATGTACGTGGGGCATCCAAAACAGAAGCTGAAAAAGCAAAAGGGTTCTTCTCTACTCCCTGTTTTCCAGCATTCAGTGTGAGCTGGAGCTTGGACAACGCTGAAGGCCAAGCAGGATTTTTTGTGCCATTTCACTGGTGATTGAGATAACCTGTGCATATTTTAGGCTTGATTACAGCCTAAGTGCTGGTAGGCAGCATCTTAAGGCATGCGTCAGTCCAGATGAGTTTTTCCCTTGTCCTGTCAGGGCTGCAAACAGTCCCTGGTGTGCTTGCCCAGAGCAGCAGGGTGATTGCCTTCAAGCAACCCCAGTGTGCAGCTCTGTCACCGTGGCAACCCACAGCTTCACCACTGGTGAGCACTTGCTGTCTATCAAAAAGCATTAACTTTTACATTATGTCTTTTTTTTTATTATAGTTTCTGCACATTTTGGCTTTCTTTTCTCCTGGGATTCATCTGCACTGGTGAAATGTTCCTTCTTGTGTAGCAGGAAAGGGCATTTCTTTCTATTTCTGTTGTGTTAATGACTGTGGGAGAGGCACAGCAAAGGACTGGCTAGAATTGCTGTTACCAGTGTCACTGAAACTGCTGCTGCAGTCACTGTTTCAGCCAGAAATGGTCCAATTTAGGCCTACTTTAAAAATTAGAAGATTTGCCCCATTCCTCTTCAATTTAGTCCTGCTGTTGGTGGTGATAGCGGAGGGGGAGTCCCATAGGGCATCCATAAAGCAGAGCAGAGCTTGGGAAAGCACAGTGTGGCCACGCTGGAGCCACA